TCAAGTTGTCAAGGCTGAGAAACACTGCTCTATTCCAAGAAAAAACAATTGTGGATATTTTTTCTTCCACAGATTCTTCTCAGAATCAGCATGGGCAGCTTTGTACTCCTGATCAGCATGTGAATCTAATTTTAGTGAGCTTCCTATTCATAAGAACTCATGTTTTTAAACTTCTGTCCAACTGGTATTTAATGAATGTGGAGACAGAGTTGAACTAAATCCCTATGTAAAATAGAAAACCTACATGTAACATTGTAAAACACCCTGTGTCTTTTTGAGAATGATTAAATCAGATGCCCAGTTATTTGAACATATTTAAACAGATTAAAGTTGGGATAAGAGATATGAAAAAGAAGAAAAGCACAAGGACTCAAGCAGTTTTATTCCTCTGTAAAAGACAGTGCAAATGTATTTCATTTCCTCTTGGATTTCTGAGATTATTGTTAGCAACCACATAGCTGGGTAAAAATAAAACAGCAGTCTTTTTAAGACAGAGGATTAAGTACAGCTGACTGTTACCAGGGGGGTCTTGGTATTTCAAGAGATGAGTAAAAAGTTCAGGATAGTTGATTGTTTTAATATTTGTTAGATGAAACAGTTATAGAGTATGCAGTGATCAAATTCCGATTCATTGAGCAGCTTACATTTTTCTGAACTTGGTTTTGGTTGCAGTCTAACTGATGGAAGTAGATTATCAGTTTACTGCAACATATATTTTCATAGACAATGGATTATTAAAATGTACAGAATTTTCTATCATATAAGGCAGCTTCCAGCATTACCTACTTGAAATAAGCTCAGCAGGGATCTGAAGATTTTAAATTCACTACATGCTGAGTTTATGTTTAAGACACGGATATTCTTTGCATCCATCCTTCTTGTTAGTTTCCTTGAAACTAGTGAAACTGATAAAATATGCAAATTATAAAGTAATGGAGCTTTGAAAAAATCTGTTTAAAACTGAAAAAAGAATAAGGTGGAAAAAGTTAACTCAGAAAATGAGTATACTAATATTACTCATTTAAAAATCAGAATTACTGGATCTCCATTTTTTTCTCAAATTGTATGTATTACTTGTTATAGGCAGGATTTTACTAACCTAAGGATGTTTTAAAATGCAATCTTGGAAGGTAAACCATTATGTGGTTGGTTTGTTTTTGATTTAGCTTAAACTGATGTTTAAATACATCTGTTGTTAGTAGTAAGCCATGGTTTCTTGAACAAATGAAGCAGGACAAAAGTCACAATTATTTTGCCAACATTTGTAAACCAGACTTTTGTATTTTTGTTCTGCTTCTTCTCTTTCAGAAACCTTCCCATAGTGACGTATATAGTATTGAGTCTGGTAAAAATCTGCTGAAATGTTTTGAAAATCAGATGGAGGTACCATCCTCTGGAGATTCTCTTGTATGTGTATGGAATCTCTACCAGTTTGCTGCAGGACAATATGTTCACCTGCATTCATTTCATGGGAGAGAGAGAGGGAGAGAAAAAATGCTGTATTCCATATCATTGGAACTAGTAGCATTAATGAATCCAGAATCTGGCATTATGTCTGCTGAAACTTGTGTAGCTACAATTTTGGAACGCTGCAGCTGTCCTTTAATCTCCGTTAAAGAGAGTTTGGGAGTCTCAGTTTTGTTTTGTTTGCTTTGCTTTCCAAAACATAGTCTTAGGGGAATCCATTATGGATGGAATACTGACTTGACATAATGGAGCTCCAAGCCTGCAGTTGTTAGCTATATATATATTTAAAACAAATGCTTTCTAAATTACAAAAAGTACTGTTATGCTTATCCACCATTTAGGATTCAAACTTAAAGCTCAGCTACATTTAATATAATTCTGAATCCCAAATGTCCTGTTTCCTTGTTGCTTTCTGGAGAGGAAGTAGAGAGGAAGAAAGTTCAAAAGCAATATAAGCTCATTCCTGTTATGTATGAACGTCAGAAGATTCCCTTACCCCTTTTTAGCAATTGTAAGGGACATCCCTTTAGATTAGAGGGCTATTTTAAGGAGCCAAACATTTTTGCTTCTTTTAAAAAAATATTAACAGAAACAAGCTATTCTCTTTCTCTTTCTCTCTCTCTTCCCCTCCCCTTTAGATCCAGAGCTGTCATTCTCCAGCTGAAAAGACCCCTTTTGACTATGGGAGATTTTGGATCCAGCATAGCTCCTTCTTGTTGGTAGAATGAGGGAGGAGGGAGTGTTTGCTATTTTTTCTGTCCCCTATAATTCTTTATGTTAAAACATCCAAAAAAAAAAAAAAACCACCTCTGTTTTTGGACATTCAGGGATCCTCTGAACAAGGAAAACAATTTCTCTCACACATGATACTGCTGGTGGGTCTTGTGGAGCATACTCTCTATTATATAAATAACAGATTACAAAATACCCCACAGCCACTCTGGAAACAGAACAAGACTTGTTTAAAAAATCTAGGTTAAGTTACAGCAAATAGGTGATGGTTAAGATACTGTATTTTGCGGTTGATTTATTAAATGCAATAGATGGGTTGCATTAGGTTTGTATGCTGGAGATTCCCTATGACTGATCTGAGCTGTGGAAGTTCTCAGTTCAGTCCACAAGGAGTTTGCTTGCAAAGCCCTGATTTCCCCTTGTCTTCTACTGCATGGAGAATCCCTATGGGTAGAAGAAGTTCTCCATTACAAACTATCAATGTCTGCTCATGGAGAACAACTCCAGTCCTGCCCTTTTGCGTGTTGTCCCTACTCTTCCTAAATGTGAGTAGATGGAAAAATCTTCTCAATATCACCTGGAAAGGGTTATAATGTGTGTTCCATACTAACTTGTTATCTATGATTCATGTTTAAGCTTCATGGTTTGAATTAGGCCTTTTCCTTATTTGTTCTCTGTAGCACACTGTAATTTGTGGTTTGTAGGTGCTAAAAATATCCTTAGAAATGGATTCAGAATTCTTATCAAACTAGAGACATTTCAATTAAATTTAAATTGCCTCTAATTCATGGGTTACAGTTCAGAAGTTCCCAATTCCTTGAGTCTTCCCACTGAACTTCCAAGGGTGTTTTTCTCTGCAAGCTGTATTGTAATCCACTAGCTGTAGTTTGTTCTGACAGTAGACTGAATATCCTTCTTGTTTACATAAGTGACAGGATTACAAAAAGACATCATATACTCTTAGAAGTTACCTGAGCTTCAGGAAATTCCAACATCCCTGACTTCATTTATTTGCAACCAGAACAAAACGTTGCTGAAAAAGAGAAAAGAATTCTATGAACAAGGCCAGTCTTCTGTAGTTCAAGCTTCTATAGGGTATGTAGATTTTCAATGAACTCTTGTATGCTGTTGCCAGGAACTCAGTCAGCTGTTACTTTCCCTTTTATGCAAACACTAATACAGTGATCATTGTAAAGTACTTGTCTTGATATAGTAGATATCTGAAGAAGCAAAAGAGCTTATCTGCTTGATTTACTAGTTTGTTCTTGTATATGCATGTTAGGTAGGGTGACTAGATTTTAGTTTACATAATCAAATTTTTACGTGAGCACAGTCATTCAGTCTAATGACTTGTTAACAATTCAGAATACGTATTGTGGGGTGAGTAGGGTGTGGGCTTTTGAAATAACATTCTTCTTAATACATGTTGCTTTGTAATACTGTAGATTCTTCAGGAAATACATCATATTGAATATTGTATACTTTTTTGTTTTCTAAATCACTTCTCTTGCCTTGGCAAATTATGATTGGATATTTGACTTGAAAATAATTGAAATTATTGTCATATGATATTGTCGAATATTGTTTAATACTGTTATGATGCTTATTATCTGAAACATGGTCCAATGAAAATAGAGTCAGAAGGTGGTGTTGAATATTATAGTGAATTCTTTCTGTAGCTAGCAACTGGAATGTTTTGGATAGCATATTAATTAAGAGAAAATACTTCTGAACAAAATTAATTAAATGGTATACTGATAGTAGTTTGATTATTTCCTGCATAGGCTCAAAGAGATTAAAAGATCTCATTTACTTATAAGTAGTAAAACCTAATGTTTCAGCATTTCCATGGGATCTGGTTGTCCCAGAACTAGGTCTCTTAATCACATCTCTAGTTGTCCCCCCGAAATACAAATATGCAGCAGATACAGTTGTTCTTAACTATAGAAATTATTGTGCTTGATGAATCTACTACTTTTGTGAGAAAATCAGTGAAAAGCAAAGAAAAATGACAAGCTGTGTATGGGAAGCTATATATGGGATCTCTCCACATGTTATCTATACCTGCAATATGTTTTGCACTTGTAATATTTTTGTATTTTCGTGTGCAGCTGCACCCATATATAGTCTCAGTAGAATACTTTTAGCTCTTTTCAACTACATATGATGTTAACAATTTTGAAGCGCAAGTCTAACCATACTTAAGAGAAAAGTGGTGCTTGGATCTAAAATTAATTGGAACGCTTAAAACAGCTAATTGGTTGGTGTATATCATTGATCTTAAATTAGTGGGTCATGCCTTACCTTCAGATGAGTTACTAAGATGCAATGGATTTTGATTTTCTGTATAAACTTTTGATGACAATAGCACATGAGGTAATTAAAGGGAGAAATAAAAAAGGGCATGTTATAATTAGGTCAAATGTGAATTTTGAATCTGTATATGTTGGATTATTGTTTTGCATTAATGTTTTGGGTAGGACACATTAACGTTTCATGGAATTATAACCCTTTCTCTTTCTCCTCTGATTTTGATAATGTGTACCTATGAAATTGCATCTATAACATGAGAAATTCTGAGGAGCTAAATACTTCTGTTCTGATGGTCTTTAAAGGAAGTGATTTATGGAGTGCATTTTCTTCTTAGATAGGCCTTTCTTTAACGCTTGATCCATGGCCCAAGAAGAGACAGCTCACCTTTTTAGACTGTCCTTCCAAGCAAAGTTACAATCCAGATCTCAGAAAATTGGGTTACAATCCAGGTCTCAGAAAATTTTTACTGAGAAGCCTGATGCTGTAGCATGCCCTTTCCTGATCAGGTGTCTTATGTGAAAAGCAACAAGTTAGGAGATGCTGTTCTAGGCTCTATTTCAGTAGTTATTCCTCATCTAGATGAAAGTTGTAATTTATGTGTTTGTGGGTACAAGAAAGGAAAAATGAGATGAGTCAGTTTATAAAGTAAAATACTTAGAAAACACACCTTGTCCTGAATGAAACAGTTTCCATCAAGTTTTGTTCCTAGATGATCTGAACCTATAAACAAAGGCAGAAGTACACCAAATGTTAAGTGTTGTGTTGGCTTATTTGTATTATTTAATATAAACGCAATTTTGAACAAACTTAAACTGCAACAAACCTCCAGCAATAGCAGTCATCTCTGATTAGCATTTGTGTGCCCAGGGATTTGTAGAGGGAAAGACAAGTTTGATACTTTGAATAGGAGGGATTGGAGAATAAGATGAAGATATTAATGGCGTGGAACAATTTATTTAGCAGTTCTATAGCTAAAGTAATAACATGTAGGACTTCATTGTACGGTCCAAGAAAAATACTGTCAATTTCTAGGTTCAGTATCACATAGCTAGCTAATTTAGCTTTTCCATGTATTGGGAATATGTGAGTGTAAACTCTGAAATTATACTGCAAGCATTGGGTGATCTTATTAAAATATTTTAAGGCCAAATTTTAAAAAAATGGTGTTTTAACAACAGCATTATCTGCACTCACACCCTGTGTGCAGGCAAAAATAATCTGCTTGCAAATTTTGCTCAAAGGCATTCTTTGCATGAAAAATGAAACTGTCTTTCTTGTGACCTTTCTCAACTGGGCATGCAAATTTGTTGGACTTTTCAAAGGTGAACCATTCACAATTTGATGTGCTGTGTTTAATTGCAGTGTCGCAGTTGGAGACCCAGTGTGAATAGTCTCAAATTGGTATCTTCTGGGAAATGTATGGCATGATCAGTGCTTTGGTTTCACCGTAGGAATAGTCTGCGAAGGAATTTAATAGTGTCTCTGGAGGAAATTTGAACTAAGAGTGGAGAATTGGAGCATTAGCCAACCCTATGGCCTTTATCTAGACTGAGATTCAGTACATTTTGGGGAAATGACTGCTTTAGGGGACATGGCTGATTGATAGAATCTTCACCAGTAAAAATCATCCTTGTAAGTGGATTGCGTTGGAATCATGGTTGAATTATTCACCAACTCTCCATCTTTCTTGGAAGTTATTTATTATTAGGACTGTTTTATATTTTAATGAATTTTATCTCTGCTGTAAACCTCTCAGAGTTGTTTCAACAAGATGAGCAGTGACAAATTTGATAAATAAAAAATTTGATGAAATTCCTTGGCCACTGTGTATAAAGCACAATTCTAATTGGTGGATTTTTTTTTAATCAATTGACCCAGTGAGTAATGGAAATGGTTTTTTGTCATTGTTGTTAATATTTAATTAAAGGCCCATTGGGGTATGAAGAGCAAGAAGAGGAATTTTAACTTTGATTTTACAAATTAGCTTTTATATCCTTTTCTTTTTTTTGCATTTATATTTTGCCCTTTCTCCAAAGAACTGAGTGTCTATGAGGTCATCCCAGTTTATTTTCAGAACCTTCTAAAGTTAGACATCTGTGTCATGCTGTATTTTTTTGTAACTTAATGAGTTTAAACCTCAACTTTTAGTTTATGTCTATCACCACAATGTATACTTAATTTTTTTTTCTTCGGCAAGCTCAGAATGGTTAATGTGGTTGCTATTCTACTTTAGATTGGGGGTACTTAGCTTTAACAGTATACAGGCAGCAAGTTTGATCAGGCAGTTCATATCATTTTCTGTTTTACATGCCATTTTCATGAGTACTCCCCCCCCCCACTTGTTTTGCAGAGATTCGAGCCCAACTTATCGAACAACTGAAATGTCTTGATCAGCAATGTGAACTTAGAGTCCAACTGCTTCAGGATTTGCAGGATTTTTTTCGCAAGAAAGCTGAAATTGAAATGGATTACTCCAGGAACTTGGAGAAGCTGGCTGAACGATTTCTTGCAAAAACAAGGAGCACCAAAGACCAGCAATTCAAGTAAAGCATTTTTCCTTGGGGGAAGTGGGGAGGGGGAGGATGGAAGCAATAAAACTGGGAAGGTGCCAGCTATCAGCATGCAACACATATTGCTTTATGAATGTCATAGTCAAGTTATTTATTTGTTTATATTTCATTTACAATGCACATATAAGAGAGTTCTCTTTCCCCTCAATTCCAATGTTAGCTAAAGTACAGGGGTAATATATAAGATCTCTGTGGTTGCGCAACATTTGTGCTCATCTCCTGATGGCTTGTATAATGGAAAGATGTACAAGCTCCTGTGAAAACTAGTACTTCTATGTGAACAGCTTTCTGTAATTGCTATAATAAAATAAGGATTGACCTGTAGGATTGACCTGAAGATGCAGAAAGTTCTGATGCAGACTGTAGATATAACTTGCATCTTTCTATAGAAAGTGTGGCTAAACAATCTTTCTAAAGCTCTACAGCTACATTTTGTTTTTAATCATGACAATTTCTAGTTGTTGTAGATTTGAAATATTTCAGCTTTGACACCTAAAAGGAATTTTAAGCATATATCCCACCCACTTGCCATGATTTGGGACTTCTGCCTCTTTCAACTATAATATGCAAAGATATGGATGATGGGATGTGCTTGGTTTCTTTCTGCTGCAAAGGAGGAAGTCAAAATGAGCTTCCCTATATAGTGATGATGAGGCTGAGTCAGTGTTGTGAATCTTCTGAAAATTAGAGGGAATGTTGCTCTATATCAGTATAGGTGCTCAGTTTTGGGTAACAATAGTGATGTCAGAACTTCAAATTAGATCAGACCAAGAAACCAATACTGCTATTATTGTAAAGCTGTAGTAACAGAATCTTGCAAGTCTGAATGTGCTTTTCCCTCCCTCCCTTTATTTTCATGTGAACTAGGAAGGGGCTTGCCTGAGATGTTCACTCGTTACATTCTTGCTCTGGACTCAGGCCCCTTGTCTTGGTAGCAGCTCTTACTCCTGTTCCTCAAGGCCATTCCCTCTTTTCTCTGCAAGGAGGGACTCAGTTGTGGACAGCAGTAGATACTTAATTTTGTCCTGTAAGCCTGAGGGGCACATATTGGAACAACAGTCTGAAGATAGTCATCCATGCCCAAGAAACCATCTGTATTTGAAATATCTAAGGAGCATTAGATTCTCTTAAAAACAATATATAGCTATAATATAATACTGACTTAAGGACAAAAACAAACACATCTAGAATGTAATTCATGTTGTGCCTTCAATGATGGCTATTTCTGGAGCAACCTGTATACTTTTTAAGTGGTGCTTAAAAGTTTGTGAATCCTTTTGAATTTTGAATATTTCTGCATAAATGTGACCTAAAACATGATTTGTTCTCCACATGCTTAACAACAGAGCTGCTGATCCCAACTGTGGTCCCTAAGCGAGGACTACCTGTATTTTTTGACTTATTTGTTTAACTGGGTTCTCCTTATCTAGTTTTAGGACTTGTGTGGAGAACACATCATGTTTTAGGTCATATTTATGCAGAAGTACTGAAAATTCAAAAGGGTTCACAAACTTTTCAGCATCACTGGATGCCTGAAAATGGATCTTTTCAAGGAAACTGCCTCTGAATTGCAGTTTAAGCCATATATGCCAGCCCTTGCCTTTGTTATTTATCTTTCCTTTCATTAAACATAATGTAGAGTAAATAATTGCATTTCATATTCTTTGACTCTAATTCTAATGTGGTATATGACTTTTAAGCTGGATATTATTTGAATTTTTTTTTGGATATTTAAATTATCCTTGCTGTCCTGTCAAGGCTAGATGTTTATGTTTACTTTTCAGACTTATAGGATGGTGATATAACTTGTGCAAATGTTGTATCTTATTTTCCTTTGATCATATCTATGTTAAAATACCAACTATGATATTTATACAGGGCTCTAGTTTCTTACGTATATAAAAATATTTTTGGAACAGAATTGTTAATATGTATTACCATGGGAGTTGCTTTTATAGAATGTAAGATTCTTATCAGACTCCTAGAAAATATATTTTCATCTTAGAATGTGTCTGGCCTTCAGTTTTTCAAATATGATAGCACGTTACATCCTTAAAATAACAGAAATAGATAGTTGCCAAGGAGAATGCAAATTGTGATTTGCATTTGTGATTCTAAACTTTTTTGCTTTTAACATACCCTTAACAAGACTTTTTTCTCCAGGATCTGTTGCCAGTCTCTCAAATGTATTAATACCAAACTTGTAATACATCTGCTACAAAATACCTAAAAGCAAATTCACCTTCAGGTTGTTGATTACATGGGCATATGTCCATTTAGTTTCCTTGGCTGTAATACAGCAGTGATTTGTCTTTACCTTCTTCTGGAATGTTTCCGTTTTTTTTTTTTTTTACTTCTTTGTCTGTCCTGCTGTTCCCTGGAGGTATCCTATCCAAGGACTAACCAGGTCTGAGTTTGTTATTTAGGATAGGCTACCAAGAAAAGAACAGGGGTTTCTGTGATCAGGATTTCATAAAAATATTCTTTGCTTTTTCTAGCAATAAATGCAAGGATGAGCTTTTATTTTATGATGCTGTTAAATTTCTTTAATATAAATTCTTCTCATTAGAGCCATATGTTACATTCCTGCTTTCTTTCTATGGGGCACTTTCAACTGAACATCAGGTATGGAAATTCCCAAAGTGACCTAGCAGGTTTTTGATTGATGCTGCAGGGTGTATCACTGAAAAGAGTGGGATTGCCAGTTTTTAAAACAGACTCTTAAGTTCTTCTACTGTGAGTGGGCCATCAGCTAAATTTTCAAAAGAGGGCAAGACCTGGGCAAATTAGGGAAACAAATGTAGATGGTATTGTTCAGATGTGTGGGTTTTGTTTTGTTTTGTTTTGTTTTGCAGATCCCCACTAATTTCTGTTGTTATCACGGTCATCCCCTCACTCCCTAATAGCCTTTATTGTTATTCTTTAAGAAGTAGGCTCATCTTCCTCTTGGCAGCAAGTTCTGCCTGTTTCCATAGACAGTGCATAGATGGAGCATCTACTACATGTCAGGAAGAAGAAAGTTAGTGATGCAACTCTGGTAGTAGAGAATAAAGCTAGAGTGTTCACGAAAAGAACAGGAAATGGAGGTGATGTTTTCAGTCTTTCCAACCCAATGGAATGTTGGAAATAAGTCATGCAAAGAGACTTGGGATTCCGTCTGTCTGCCTGCCTGCTCATCTTTATGTCTGTCAGCAGACTGTTTGCCTTCTGAATGCTTATGATCTGTCTCTTTATTTTTATTGTTCCTACATTTTTAAATTGTAAGCCACCCAGAGTCATTCGGCCTCTAAATTGTATTAGATAAATAAAACTGGACAGAATGGAACAAAATTTAGTCCAGAGAGAAACGCTGGAAAAAGAAAGATCATTTTTGAAAATGGGCCAAATCCAATCTGGGGCTGCAGAGAAAAACATTCTCAAAAAGCCTTTTTTCCCAGCGCACCCCTATGGAAGAGACTGTGAGAGGCTTGAAATACTGTATTGCCAACTGTTCTAAGCTCTCCTCATTCTGGTCCGAGATTAGAGCATATGCAGCCTACTGTGTGTTTCCCAGTACGCTTATACACACAAACACACACAAGACAGCATGATGGGAGAGCAGAAACAGGCATACAAAGACACAACATGTTACTTCATTACATAAAAGGCAGTACTGATGCTTCCTATAGCCAGTTCTGATAAAGTGCTAGAAAGAATTCCAGAAGCTCTGCTGTGCGCATGTTTTCCCTATCTCATTTTATTCCAGGTTTTTTGGAAAGCTCTCAGTTCAGTGGCAAGTCTTGAGGTGGGAAAAGCAGAGTGAACAGGAGGTGGGTGATGGAAAAATATGTTCTCCCAGATGCTCTCATTATTACTTAACTTTGCTGCCAAATTTTGGCAAATAACAGGAAACAGAGACAAAGGAAATTGTCATTCTAGCAACAACTTCTAATTCAGACATATGTCGAACAGGGAGATTGGAGGTCCCTAAAACTAAGAAAGCAGCACTGGGGACTTGTTGCAATACTGATTGTAACCAGGAAACAAAAAAGGGCAGATAAACCTAAAGAAATGTGTACCACCTCATATGATTGATATGTCTTGGGGGGACTAATTGCCTACTCCTATCTGATGTAAGCATAACTTAAAATGTCAGTTATGGCAAAAGAATTATGGAGATGGAGTTACAAATCTCAACAGCTCTCTAATTTGGAATGCATAGCCTTTTAGCTTATAAATGGTTTTGCAGTTTTCTAATATTTATTCACATCCCTATTGTTTTACATCCTTCCTTGGTGTTCAAAAACTCTCATTATGTCTTGAGAAATTGTTTGGGCTTCTTGTGCTATACCATAAGGGTTTTTAGATTCCTTTAATTAAAGGAAATGGGGAGCTTGCATGCTACAAAGGACTAGGCTCTGACATCTTTATGTTTAAAAAAAACCAGCCTCATATGGGCCCCATTAGCTGCTCTTACAGTAGAAAAGAGAAACAAGTATGATTGCTGCAGAGTATACCCAACTGCTCCAAAAACTGAGGGTGGTAGAGAAAATGCTAGGGAGTGATGGCAGGCAGCAAATTTACCAATTTATTTCTGTTAAGTGGGTATTTTGTGATGATGTAAGCTATTCTCTGTGTCACCCATTTGTCAGAGTGCCCATAATATGCTTTAAAAAGTCCAAATGTGATCGCTAGCCCCCAAGGAGGGATATATAGCACTCCAGGATTCAGATGTGGCAAATTCCACATCTCCAGAAATTGTATACAACTGTGACTCTTTTGCCTTTAAAATTTCCTTTTCCCGCCACCACCAAGGCCAGAGTTTCTCAAAATGCGTAGAATTCTTCTTCCCACTAGAAAGGGAGGTCTAGAAATTTGCCCCACCAGATGCAAACTTGATCATACATTCTTACTACGTGCTTTTCTTTGTCTTCTTCCCCATCAAATGCCACTTCTCCAGTTTTCACAGAATCATAGATTTGGAAGGGACTTCG